TGCAGTGGTGCATAGTATTAATGCATCTCTTTCACGCGGCGCGAAGTCACACGTTCTTTATCGAATAGTCACCGAAGAGGCGGCGGCGTCTATCATGTACGAGAAATTACGTATTAAAAATCTATTTATAACACTGTTCATGCGGTCAGACTTTAGAACGCACTACCCATTGCTGTTCAAGATGGTAAATCCTTGACTATTTTCAAAACGAGAGTTAAAGACGAGCACTATTCATCCACTGTTCCATCCATTACAATATATTACGTATATTACGATACGTGTACTTATCTAAGTATTTATAATAGTCTATAATAGTTTCATGTTTATGATATTGTTTTTTTTATTATATAATTTTTGTTTTGTTGTGCTTGTGAACTCGTTTTTGTAATTATTGTCTCCTGCATTTAAATTTGTAGGAAGACGAGAGCAGTACCTTTTATTTGTGTTTTCTTTTTTACTAAATGTGATTTGTATTTTCCTGTGCAATAAATGGTTAAATAAATAAAAAATCGGATACAACATCATACTATCCTCTTTTAAACAAGAATATTATTTTAGGAGGAAGTATTAAGTCAGTACTTATTTCGAAACTAGGTGGCGTTGTATAATTATTTTAAGTAAATAATTTCTGATTAGTAAGTCTTGGTTTGTTTAAAACGAATTATTTAAGAATAAAATATCTAACTTTGCAAATAATTTTTATGCGAAGATACTTTTCTTTAAGTATTACGGAGAATTTGCAAAATTTTGGGTTTCAACTGAAGCTTCATAGTTATTAAATTCACGATTAGCCCAAAAAGAAACAAAAATCGGAACTTTCAATATTTCATTTGGTTGTTTTCGTATTCTTATTTGCACAAAACTGTACGTTATAATATAAATAAATATAATATAATCTAATGCATTGACTTACAATTATATGGACGTCGGGTCCGCGCTAAAAAGTGTCCGAACTTATAGGGCGTTAAAATCGTATACAGAGCGTCATTCACGCTTTAGTCTTGGTTTGTTCGACTGACAGCGAAACAAGCAAAATTAGACAGTACTGCGATGACATTACAATTTAAATTCAACGTTCAGCTTTTTCATATTCCTTTACATGTCACTACGTTTAAATAGGTTGACTTGGGACATTTTTTTCGTGGTTTTTGTATTAGACCCGTCGTCCATTTATTTGTAAGTCAATGATCTAATGTTATAAATGTTAGACGACATTACATACGTTGCTCTGATCCAAAAGTAAGTAACTAAAACACTTGCGTTATGGAAATCTAAAACAACGAGGGTACCACAAACACCCACACCCAAGACAACATAGAAAAGATAGTTTTTCTAGATTTACCCGGGCGGGGATCGCCCCGGATCTTAGAAATGGCGGCACAATGAAAACTGATGCGCAAGCCACTAGACCACGTAATTCGTAAAAAGTTTTCGGTATCTCATTACATAACGCAGTGATATTCATATCTTTAGTAGCAGTAGAGGCCCTTGTGAAAGAGTTCGTCCAGGGTAGTACTAATAATGTCAACCTTACTGTGTTCCGGGTTTGAAGGGTAAGGGTGCTGGTGAAATTACAGGCACATGGGACTTGTCAATTTATGTCTCAGGGTGACGGGAGCAGTGGCAATGCCCCTCAGATCTTTGCAATTTAAAGCTCTGAGTGGCACTGCAACTGTTATGGACAGGCGTGTAGCTTACCACCAGGCGCACGACTTGTTCGTTCCGTCACTTGATATTATAAAAAAAAACTTGAATAACCTCATTTTTAATTTACTTTTACGAGTTTATAATAGCGATCAGAAATCTTTGTTATTTCCCGTATAATTGCTTCATTGATATTGTATTAAGTAAGTTAAATATTCCAGTCTGGAACGTCCCTAAATCTCAAATATTAACTCGTGTTAAGCAAACTCAAGTTATTGCTTAATGAAATGTAATAAACTTAATATCGCTATTTCTACTCGTATTTCGGATTACTTGACTCCTTGTTATTATATTTAAACTTGAGATTTAAGTACGCTTCCGTGAACTTTTTAGATGGTACAAGTTACATTCTTGCTTCAGTCTCAAAAATCTATGCATGACCCAGTACTGACTTATATAAATAAGGTGATGAAGAGTTTGTTTTTAACCGCAATTGCTAACCCCGTGTATGGTAATGTCGCTCCGTTATGGTACTTGTTTCTTTTTTATAATATCAAGTGACGGAACGTACAAATCATGTGTCTGGTGGTAACCGACACGTCTACGGAAGAAAAAAAAACAATGAAAGTGCTTTAAGCGTCCACTACTATCAGAACCGAGAGACGTCGCCAAAACTTACACATTTTTAATGTGGAACATTACAAAATATTGATATTCATAGGTCGTAGTTTCAAATTTAAAAGTAAATAACAAATTCTGAATTGTTAATACAATTTGAACTTTATCCTGTTGGCATGTCGTTGAAAATTCAATACCATCAATACCTAGTAGCAAGTTACGACGTTTTGACATTATATTGAAATTTCAATGAATGTGCTGCCATCTAGCGGTTAATTGCTAAACGACGACGAATTGGAGTTATTAATTTAGTTCCCTAAAAAAGAAGCGGCCATATTGCAGGGGTATAAACCTTCGTTTCTTGGAACAAAAAAATATTTCAATAAACAGAAAATTGAAAATTTATTAAAATAAAACTTGCTGATGATATGAAATATCACCACGGGCAATAATGATTTTGGTGCGGCTCCCATTTTTGCACTCCAAAACAGCACAATAAGGCATTTTTCTAGGATTTTAGAGGATTTGCACGAAAGAATGACACAACCATGCCATACAAAGCGTAAATGGCGGACTGAGGTCAAGTAGGTCTTTCCAGACCTATAGTCGGCACGCGTCGGACACTAACCTAACCGCTTCAACCGTATTTATTGTTCTGTGGACACGCCTGTCCATGGCAGTTAGACAACGTTGTCGGGTATTTAGTACCTATTGTTATTTTTGTAACTAATTTGATTTACATTGACAAGCTGCAATTTATCAAACCTACTGCAATTCGTAGTGATAACAAACAAATCAACTAGATGGCGCTTACTGCAGAGATTTGCGAGATTTTTAATGAATAATACCCATAGACATATACCTAGATAGACGCCGCAAGTGTACGTACTTCGCGTGCCCAATGTACTTACTTGCTACTGCTACACTTCAGAACGCGCTCGACCATTATCGTAGATAAACACCAGTCGAAAACGCGAAAAATGCAAAATTGCGCCATTATAAACTGCAAAAGCACCATAACTGTGGGTAAACGGGTAAACAGGGACGTTTCCTTCCACGGGTAAGTGATTTTGTAATCAGAAGACGCATAATTTATTTTAAAAACAATTATTTTGGTTTTGTATGAATTTCGAGAAAACAAATATGCAACTCAGTGACCACCTCATGATTTGTAATACATCGCGACTTTTACTTGGTGCGATATATTTGTGATCCTTTGTTAATACGTCATGAATATCGAACGAACGCACTTTTGCATAATGCATTCAGTTTCTGTGGTACGGCCGCTTGTACATTTTTTTGGCTAAATTTAACATTTAGTGATGGATACGTTAGGCAACACTGTTCTCGATTCTGATCGATTTTGAAAACAAAGGGACGAAAATTATTATGACCTTAGCAATATTATAAAAATATTCTATAACTCTTTTCTTACAACGTTTAGTAACGTTTGTTTTTTTTTCAGTTTTGTAGTATCTATTATCAGTAGTATCTGTAATTTCGATAATTTTTGCAGCACGTTGCCTCGAATGTCCGAATATAGTGCAATACAGAAAAAATATATAATACAAAGAATTAACAGTGCGCTGTCTTTACAAAAACCTGGAGTTGGTCATACGTATGAGTTCGTTGCTTTCGAGGACGAAGGTGGTTTAATTTATCCCACCTAAGATGCTATCCAAATATGCAGAGTAGCAGAGTTAGAAATCCGAGAAATAATAAACAAATAACAAAAATTTCACACGAGGCCTTCATTAAGTAAACCTCTTCTGATTAATTAAATGTTACCATATTTTGTCGGCAGTAACATTTTCATTTGTCTTGCCATACATCATTTTGATCAATTACCAACTGAAAACCATCTAGTAAAATTAATTAAGGCAGTCGCAAGTTCATATATTGACGTGCGTTTTCATTATTTAAGTTAATCGATAAGATCTTCTATTACAAAAAGATGTTATATAATAAGCTCATTTTACTGGTAGGACAATAATTTTAATGTTTGGAGTCGATTAAAAAGTAAAGTCTGAATTTTTTTTAAAGTAAAATAAAGGACTAAACTATCTTATTCTAGTATTTTTCTACTATATTAATATTACGACTACTTGTAATCAACAAATACTTGAACAAAAAACATTCAATTTAGAATCGATTAATTGAATGGAATACGCGTACCTATTACGTTCAATCAATCGATCGAAAAACACTTAGTTGGCGCTTCTACGCTTCAGAACAAGGACGAAGGTGGTCTAGTTTATCCCACCAAAGATGCTATTCAAATATGCAGAGTAGCTGAGTTAGAAATCCGAGAAATCATGATCAAATCAATAAAACTTTACACGAGGCCGACATTAAGTAAACCTTAAGTTACTTTAGTAAGATTTTAGATATTTTGTCAGCAGTAACATTTTCAGTTGTCTTGCCATTTACCAATTTGATCAATCACCGACGGAAAACCATCTAGTAAACTTAAGGCAGTTGCAAGCTCCTATAATGACGTGCGTTTTCATTATTTAAGTCAATCGATAAGATCGTCTATTACAAAAATACAGTTATATACTAAGCTTATATTATTTCAAGGACAATAATTTTAATATTTGAAGTTGATTAAAAATTAAAGTTTAAATTATTAAATAATCAAAATTTTTTAAAAACAACTTTTAATAAAGGACATAACTATCTTGTTTTGGTATTTTTCTACTGTATTAATATTTTACGACTA